TAATTTATTTTTTTATTATAATTTAATTTAAGTTTAATAATGAAATAATTTATTTTTGGTTTAATAATATAATATTTTATAAAGATAATAATTAAGTATTCTGTTAGTACTTAATATTATATTTTAGATTTTTTATATTTAAAATGAGATGTTTATCCTGTATTTGATTGTGTTTATTTGCAGTTAGTTACACGAATTCAGATATGGGATGAAATCGGATAGGAATGAACGGGTTTAAGAGTTTTTAAGAGTTTAAGAGTTTTAAGAGTTTAAGAGGTTTTAAGAGTTTTAGTCAAATGCTTTATAATATAGTATAGATTTTAGATTTTTTATATTTAAAATGAGATGTTTATCCTGTATTTGATTGTGTTTATTTGCAGTTAGTTACACGAATTTAGATATGGGATGAAATCGGATAGGGATGAACGGGTTTAAGAGTTTTTAAGAGTTTAAGAGTTTAAGAGTTTAAGAGTTTTAAGAGTTTAAGAGTTTTTAAGAGTTTTAGTCAAATGCTTTATAATATAGTATAGATAAAAATAAATTGGTTTATATTATAATTTTGAAGGGAAAATTGTATATATTAAAATGATTTAAGAGGTATGGCGTAGGGGATAATAACCCCAAGAATAAAAAAAAAAGGAAAAATATGAAAGCATGGGATGACATCATCAATTCCATGTTTCTTATCCATTCTTCCACATTTCCCAATGGAAAAAATACAATCATTTCATCAAATTATTGAATTTTTAGAAAAATAAGTTAAGTATATTTAAGGGGTTGTTTATTAAACGCTTACCTGGTAAGTACTTACTGGGTAATTTTTCTCATCGGATGAACATGAAAGGGCCAAAAATCTTACCCGGTAAGAGCGATGATAAAGATGAAAAGTCTTACCTGGTAAGTGAGGGTAACGACTCTTACCCAGATAAACGCTAATCAGGTAAATTGTTACATATGATACGTTTTGATGTACTACAGTCTTACCCAATATAATAAATTATAGTGTTGACTCCTAACGTTAAGCACTTACCGGGTAAACATCTAGGTAAACGACCCTAAGTGTATAAATTTCATTTATGATAAATTGTATAAAAAAGTAACGTATTTTTAACATTATCATTTTAATATTTAAGATGTAAAGTTTTAAACATTTAAGTACCTAGTTAACCGATTGAATCATTAACTGTTTAGCATGTTGATGTGGCGAGTGATGCGGTATCCGGTTAATTCTTCAGCAAATAATATTGAATTGGATATCACATCACTCGCCACATCAGCATGGTAATCAGTTAATATTTCAACCGAGTTCTTAAATGTTTAAAACTTACATCTTAGGTATCAAAATGGAAGTTTTAAAATTACGTTATCCAAAATAAGAATCAAGTAAAGTACGTTACTTCTTCATGCAATTTATCATTTTATTTACATATATAGTTAACTTCTAAAAATACATTGAGACAATATTTGTTTTGTTCTCCAACCAATTTAGAATCTCACATACCGTTTAAAATAAGTATTTATATTTTTGTAGTCTGTTCTATAATAAATGTCCATTTTCGATAGTTGATTACGAGGTGTAGAAATTTTACTTCTCTTATTGGAGGTAAAATCGTCATGTAAATCACAAGAGTGGTGTTTGATTGGTTTGAGCTTGACTTCAATGGTCAAAAGTATCATGAGGTTCTAGATTCAAATCTAAGTAGGAATAAAAATCCCCTTGTGTATTTAATTTGGAACATTTATTTTTAGATGAATAATTGAAAGATTTAGGATGTTCAAACGAGAACAATAACAAACAAACGAAAAAGATACAAAAAACAACCAAATCACATGTGAATTTATACTAATGGTTAACAAAACGATACACAATATGGTATATTATTTGAATGAATGTAGTTCTAAGCAGGGACAAACCTAGTATAGTGGTTACGGCGGCACATGCCATTGTCTTATTCCTCCGTTGAAAGGTAAAAATATTTAGGTTCATGAAAGATGTAACCGTATTAATTTGTTGTGTGTCACCGTATGTATTTTGAAACTACAATAAAAACAAATTTTATGGTTTGCAAGACTTTTATTCCACTTCAGACCCAAGTTCGAATCCTGTTAATGTCATTTTCTGAATCAAATAGTGTCACAGTTTAAAAATTTCTGGGTCCATCCTCTGTTAAGGTTAGGGGTGCTCATGGGTTGAGTTGATCGGGTTGAAGATATTTCAACAACCCAACCCAATGGTTACGGTTTGAAAAATCTTAACCCAACCCAACCCAAACCGTACGGGTTGGTCGGGTTGATGCTTTGGTACTTAGAATATTCTTCTAACCTTGAATATGTTATTTCTCTATTCATAATTTCTTTTTCATCATCAACCATTTGATACAACTTATCCATACTTCTTACGTATATCACATTCAGTTAATTTTCTCGATTTACGTTTATATGTTTACAATTACTGAACATATATATGGATGAGTTATATAGAGATGTGAATAGATTGAAAAGATCTGTATACGAAGAGCGTACGTGATAGTGTAATTGTCTAATGTATATATTAATATAAATTCAACAATCATATTAAATCCAAGAAATAAAAGGATATCGTGTTCATCGGGTTAGATTGGGTTCAAATAATAATAACCCAATACCTACGGTTTAAAAATTTTACAACTTAAATAAACATCAAGTTACTTTGGGTTAAATTATTTTACGTTAAATTAAGTTAGATTGATCGGATTTTTGAGCACCCCTAATTAACGTACAAACTTCAAAAACTCTCCAAATCCCCAAATAAATTGATAAATTGATGACTCTATCTTATCAACAAACTGTCGTCACATTCTATCACCTTACGCACATAAATCCAAACCCATTTCCATGTTTATCCCTCCACCTTGTTTTTATAAACCTTCAAAAAAGCCCACATCTTCATCACATAACTTCAACAACCGCCAACTTTCCCACCAAACAACACCACAAAAATGGCAATGAGTATGGGTTATTACGGCGACACCGCCATGAAAAAGATCGCCGGCGGTGGCTCTGTCGCCGGCGGATACGACGTTCCTGAAGGAGTAGACATTAGAGGGAGATTTGACCAACAGTTTGCCAAGATTCTGACGAAGGATGCTTTGATGTTTGTGGCTGAATTGCACAGGGAGTTTAGGAATCATGTGAAGTATGCAATGGAGTGCCGGAAGGAAGCAAAGATGAGGTATAACGGCGGTGGGTTGCCGGGATTTGATCCGGCAACGAAGATAATCAGAGATGGAGATTGGATGTGTGCGGAGGTGCCGCCGGCGGTGGCTGATCGGAGAGTGGAGATAACAGGTCCGGTGGAAAGGAAGATGATTATTAATGCTTTGAATTCTGGAGCCAAAGTGTTCATGGTGAGTCATCACTTCGTTCCATCATGCATTTCGTGTTTTAGCAGTTTTGTTGTTTGCAATGAACCCTGCATGTCATTATTTAAACATATGGTTTTATCTATTTTATTATACCTAGATATCCAACTCGTTATACGAGCCGATTAATATCAAAATGATCATCTGATTTCTACGTAGTCCAGAGTCATTGCATTTGATCTTCATAATCACAAGGAGATTTTTATTTCTCCTTGGATTTAAATTTGTGACCTCCAGCTCGAGTCCAAGCTCAAACGAATCAGATGTCCACTTTTTTTATTAACCTGGATATCTAACCCGCTATGCGAGCCGACTAATTTCAAAGCGACCACCTGCTTTGCACGTAATCCGGAGTCACTGTATTTGAACCTCCGTGACTAGATTTAAATCTGGAACCTCCTGACACATTTGACCTTTGGAGCCAAGTTCAAACCAATCAAACACTTTTGACCTTTAGAGTCAAGCTCAAACCAATCAGGTGTCAACCTTGTGGTTGGTTTGATTTTACACGTGATCACATATGCAGGTGGTAGCTAAATATGTTTTTTTTTTTACATTTTTAATGCATGATTTGATCTAATTATAAAATAAAGTGGTGCAAATGTACAGCGTTATGTTTGCAGATCAGTAATTTTTGATGGACCATATGCATTTACATAGACGGTAATTACAAAAGTTAATGTGATATTTCTAAAGGATAATTATTAATGTAACAGTTTTAAGAGACGATCGGAGTGTTACGGGACCCATCTTTTTTATAGAATACCTGTGTTTGTAGGACAATATTTCTAATAGTATTGTCGTATTAATAATTAATACAATATTTTATTTAAAAAACATCCTAAAACATTTGTTAAAATACTCAAAAAAATCTTATAAACCTGTTATAACACTTTTGTTATTGTAACTTAAGTCCTATAAATTATGCTATTAAGACGTTTAAACATTTTAAGCATCTTATAAACCTAAATTTATCACAGTGAATCTTAGTTTTCGACTATTGACAAGTTTAACGTTATCCAACGTTTTAATTTTAAAGAATCACGATTACAAATGTTGAAAAAATAAAATACATATATTTTTTTTTGAAGTACTAGAAGGGTACTCGCACAATGTAGCGAGATATATCTTTATTTTAGTGTTTCGTTTTATTTTTTTGTCTCTGTTAATATAATACGGTTTATATAATTTTATGAATATTAATATTTTTACTTTTGAATAAAAATAAATTTGAAGATATCATAAAAATTTGAAAAAATATATTGATATTACTATCAAATTAACTATTTACATGTTTTCATTTTTTTGTACAATTTCTTTAATGCAAATTTTTATTATAATCTAATTTATGTAGCGAAGTAATTTATTTTTGGCTTAACAATATAATTTTTATAAAGATGATTATGTTATAACTCAATGATTATCTTAATTATATTTTAGATTTTTTATATTTAAAATGAGATGTTTATCGTGTATATGATTATGTTTATCTGCAATTAGTTATACGAATTCAGAAATTGAGCTTTAATAAGTTGTACTTACGCACAATTACTTGTGATCTTAAATTTTAAGTAATATGCATTAATAAACGGTACTTCATGCTTAAAGAATGGGTTTTAAGAGTTTTTATCAAATGCTTTATAATATAGTATAGATATATAATATTTATATACGGCAAATAAAACAAATAAACTAACACACTCTCCTCACCTTTGGTGAGGTTTGAACCTCTGACCTTCTAGGAGGTTAAAGACTCACATACCACTAGACAAAAACCGTTTGGTAAAGAAATAAAATAAAATATTCATGGGTGATTTTAAACAGGCTGATTTTGAAGATGCATTATCACCAACATGGGAGAATCTAATGAAGGGCCAAGTGAACTTAAAGGATGCTGTTAATGGAACAATTAGCTTTGAAGATAAGGCTAGAAATCGGGTTTACAAGCTCAACGACGAGATCGCGAAGCTTTTTGTTCGTCCCAGAGGCTGGCATCTACCCGAGTCTCACATTTTCATTGACGGTGAACCAGCGATCGGTTGCCTTGTGGATTTCGGCCTTTACTTCCATCACAACCATGCGGCATTCCGTAAAACACAAGGCCAAGGATACGGCCCGTTCTTCTATCTTCCAAAAATGGAAAATTCCAGGTAATTATTTAATGGTCGGTTCGGTTCGGTTCGGTTCGGTCTGATCACTATAATGGAATTGGGCTTTATAAGGTGTAAAATACGTTCAAATGTCTCTAATCGGTTATTTATAGAACTTTAGTTTATATCATTGAACAACTGTACGTCATATGTAAAATTAAGTGTTATAACAGGATGTTTGAATATAATTACACATTCTAATAAGTTTTTTTATGACACTTTTAAAACATCCACAATCGAGTACGTAAATTTGTGAAAGAACTCTTAATAAAAAAAAGGGTAAATTGCATGAAAAAAATAACGTACTTTAACTTGATTCTTATTTTAGGTAACGTATTTTTAAGACTTATATTTTGGTACCTAAGATGTAAAGTTTTAAACATTTTATTACCTGTGTAACTGATTGATAACTAATTTTAGATTAAAAAAAGACTAATTTTAGACAAAAAAAATCCATGTCACTAACCATATCAGCAAATAGTACTGAGTTGGATACCAAATCACTCGTTATATCAGCATGATGGCCGGTTATGCTATCTCCAGTTATCCGGGTACTTAAATGTTTAAGATTTTACATTTTAGGTACCAAAATTGAAGTTTTAAAAGTATGTTACCCAAAATAGGAATCAACTCACAATTGTTTAGTTATATAAACTTGAATTCCATAAATCAGACATATTTAACATCTTGTAAAACTGATTGTGTGATACGACCTAGTTAATCCCTAAATGTTTTTTGGCTTTGCTAACGGACATTCGACTGCGAGCAGGGAAGCGAGGATATGGAACAACGTGTTTGAGAGGGCGGAAAAAATGGCCGGGATCGAAAAAGGTAGCATCCGGGCAACGGTTCTAATCGAGACACTACCAGCAGTGTTTCAAATGGATGAAATTCTCTATGAATTAAGGGATCATTCCGTCGGTTTGAACTGCGGAAGATGGGATTACATCTTTAGCTACGTCAAAACATTTCAAGCGCACCCTGACCGGTTGCTACCGGACCGAGTCCTCGTTGGTATGGGCCAACACTTCATGAGAAGCTACTCCGATCTACTCATCAGAACCTGCCACCGACGAGGCGTCCACGCCATGGGAGGAATGGTATGTAGTTTCTAAATTTCGGTAATTTGGGTCGTCTTGAAATCACGAAATTGGCAAAGAATTATCAATCCTTTCATTCTTTAAGGACGCCTAAAGGGTTTAAGCGTCTTAATAAAATAAGACGCCAGCAAAAAAAAATAAAACGTCTTATCTAAAAGTGTTATAATAAGCTTATACCATAAACTCAATTTTGGTGTAGGCGGCTCAGATTCCGATCAGGGACGATCCAGCAGCAAACGAGGCGGCACTGGAGCTCGTGAAGAAAGACAAGCTGCGAGAGGTTCGAGCCGGGCACGACGGGACGTGGGCAGCACATCCCGGCTTGATTCCGGCGATCATGGACGTCTTCACCGCCAACATGAACAACTCTCTGAACCTAATCGAAACCATGAAACGCGAAGATGCAGCTAACTTAACCGAAGACGACCTCTTGCAGATTCCCCGCGGGGTTCGAACCATGGAGGGTCTTAGGTTAAACACCCGAGTCGGGATCCAATACCTCGCCGCCTGGCTCACTGGAACCGGTTCAGTCCCGCTGTATAACCTCATGGAAGACGCCGCCACCGCCGAGATCAGCCGAGTCCAGAACTGGCAGTGGTTGAAATACCGAGTGGAGTTGGACGGTGATGGCGTCGGCGTGCGGGTGAGCCCGGAGCTTTTCGGGAAGGTGGTGGAGGAAGAAATGGCGAGAATAGAACGGGAAGTTGGCCGAGAAAAGTTCAAGAAGGGAATGTATAAGGAGGCTTGCAAGATTTTCAGTCGACAATGTACGGCACCGGTGCTCGACGATTTTCTGACGTTAAATGCTTACAATCACATCGTGATTCATCATCCCAGAGGATCATCGAAGCTTTAAAGCCGGTTTTAATGGCGGTCGTGATGGGTTTGCAGGGTTTTTCTTGTTGGCTGTATATCTGTGGAAGATTGTGCTTGTTGTCTGAGTTATTCAGCCATGGATGCTTATTTTAGCTTAAATAATTGATGATGTTTGTAATAATGGTTTATGAATGTAATGCCATCATCTCCTGCTTTGTTATATTTCTGGAATGCTTTTGTTGCTACTGAAGCTGAATAAATTAGTCTCACTTTTTTTTTATCAACCTGGATATCCAACCTGTTATGTTAGTCAATTAATCCTAGGACGATCATCTGTTTTGCAGATAGTCCGGAGTCATCGTATTTGAACCTCTATGGTCAAAAGGGGATTATTATTTTTGCTTTTGGATTTGAACCTGAGACTTCCTGGTACTTTTGACTTTTGTAGTCAAGCTCAAACCAATCAGACACCACCCTTGTGGTTTGGTCTCACTTTTATAGCGGATAGATGGTATTCTTGTGATCGATTTAGTGGGCGTTTTCGTTTATGGTCCAATCTCGTGCTAAAGAGCGTAGAGGTTCGAGTCCTCTTCAAGGCATGCTATTGAGAATGCTCGTTGAAAGAAATAAGCCTCGGGTATAAAAAATAGCGGGTGCAGGTTACTGTACGGGCTGGATCACCAGCTTTATTAAAAAAGGATCGAATAAATTTTCGAACAAACACATAAAAAAGACTACTATTTGTATCTGAAAAATAAGTAGTCATGTCATTAATCACGTAGTCTATTGGTACGAGTGGCCACGTCCCATTTTGAATGGTTTCATGAGAGGAAGTATAAAAATTAGTTCTAAAACCGTCGTTTGGAGGGAGGAACCAACTTTCTTAATCGACTGATTGGAAAGAGAGAACATCTAAAGCCGATTTTCGGAATTTCAAGGAGATTGGAGTCGATTTTGGAGAATGTTCCTAGGGTTCTTCGTCATTTACTGATTTTTACCATTTGTAAGTTCAATTTCTGTTTCAAAATATGATTATAAGTAGCAAGTGATTACGTCTTGACTGACGGTTAACACTGAGTCCCTGAGGAGACGACCCTACCTATCACTATCACAAGTTGTTGTGTTTTAGAGGTAATCAGGGCCGTCCCTGGGGGAGGGCGACACGGGCGTACGCCCAGGGACCAAAAATATCAGGGGCCCAAATTTCTCCTTAAAATATATAGTAGTCTAAAAGAATTTAATAAATTAACGAAACCAAAAAATTGTAGCATATAATAAGAGAGAAAAATAATTTAATAGATAATAAGGGCCCAAAAATATATCAACTAATTACATTGGAGAAGAAAATAAACAAAATTAATTGGTCATTCATTATAAGTTATTGTTTATTGCCCCTCTAATTTTTTTTTTATCTCCACCAAGGTCCAATGATATTGGCTATTGCTATCTCTATATGCTTCACTATTTTCGTGCTTCAACAATTCAACGTTAGATAGTTTTATCAATTTCTATTTTTATTGACTATTGCTATTTGGTTATACTGTTCTAATTGTTTTTGTTGACTATTGTTATCTATTTTTGCTTCTACATAAAATATTTTACTTTTTTTTAGACAATTAATCTATTGTTCTTATGATTTATGACGTGTTTCATGGTTTTGTGATTAATCAATAAATTTTTTCTACTAGATGTATTTAGTAATGTCCCTTATATATGTCATGTTCCATAAACTTTTAATATTAAAATCTTATTTTAGTTGAGCAAAAAAAAAAAGGAAATAGAATTTAAATATTTTCATCAATTGTTTGACTTATGTATCTTTCATTGGGATTCCACTACACCACAAGATTCTATTTAAGTGTTCAAACAATCATTTGTTGAGCTTGCATATTATATGTTTAATTCATTATTTATTTTTACTAGATTTTAATAGATCATCTTTTCTTTCATATTCTTATTGATCTTCATTTGTCTACTTGTCTAGAAGACTTTGATAATCTTCTTTATTATTGATCTCTCATTGACCTCACAATTATTTCATTAACACGAATTCTCTTTTTGTATCAAAATAACACATATTTCTTGTTATAAAGTAAAAATTTCTTACGTTTTATAAAAATTTATCAACCATAGTTTATATACTCTTGGTTTAAAATTACCTAATAAGAAGTACGTAAATTTAAGTACTCTCTTGTATATCTATAATAAAGATAAATAAGATTTCTTTACTCTGTAAATTATTAGCATTTTTTGTACTCAATTTTATACTAATGAAAAACATTTATTGAATTYTTTTTCGTACTTACCGAAGGTCACTACAAGAAAAGTGAGATTTGACGATGCRCCTTTTAGCGATGACATGTGTCACAAGTTATAACGACGACATGTTGTTATATACTATTTCTAATGATAAACGGACTTTTAGCGACAACAAAAGTGGTTGCTAAAAGCCTTGTTTCTTGCAGTGGGGCCCCTATTTTTATGTTCGTCCAGGGCCTAAAAATGTCAAGAACGAGCCTGAAGGTAATAGGCATCAATTATAAACTTTATTATTTGCCGGAAACGACACCGTCAGTATTTACGGATTTTCTTCTAATATAAATATATATCTCTTAACATCATTATCTTATTCAACAATAAATAGAAAGATTATATATATATATATATATATATATATATATATATATATATATGACACAAATTTGTTGTTTTAAGTCACAACTTAAAAAACGCAGAATCATCAATATGACATAAAAAGTTTAAGATTTGACTTTACTGTCTGATATATCTGTATTTGAAGTCTTATTTCACTTCTAATTGACAAAATGTGGTGCTGAAGTTTGAAAAACCATAATCAGTAAGACTGTTTGTTTTTATAAACTGGTAGATGTCTGAGTCTGCATAACTGTCTATTTTACACTTCAAAATATTATAACGCTGAATTTATATACATTTATACAATTTTATATGTTTATTCATCATATATTACAAAATTTACATCTAAAATATAAACTACAATTCATCACAGTTAAATACCATTAGGAGCACAAAACCATCCAATTTGATATCTGATTGCAGCCCTATCTCCAAATTTAGTGAAATACGGTATCTACCTGGGTGAAGAATGATGGCATTTTCGTTACTTCAATTTACAAACACTTGGTTGAGAACAACGATAGAGAGATGAGATCGATTAAGGGGTCGTTTACCAAATGCTTGCACCTTGGTAAGTGTTTACCAAGTTATTTTACCTTAACCAATGAATATAACAAGGACCAAGAATCTTAATGAATATAGCAAGGACCAAGAATCTTACCTAGTAATAGCGAAAGTAATGACTGAGAATCTTACCTGGTAAGTGAGGGCGACAACTCTTACCCGGTTAGCGCTTTTCGGTTAATTTTTTGCATACGATGCTGTTTTAATAGACTAAAATTTTACACGGTAAGGTAAGTGATAGTGTTAAATTTAACCGGTTAGCGCTTATCGAGTAAATGGTCCCTAACATAGATTGAGATCTATTGAGACTGCGGAGCGATTTAGGTTAATCGATTGAGAAAGATGAAGATTGACTAGTTAAGGATCGATTAAGGGGTAAGTGATTGAGAAACGTCTGATGTTGAGAATTTGAAAAACAATAAGAGGCAAATAAGGAGTTGATGTACCTTTAACCAAATAAGAGAACGATAAAACATGAGCATCTCTGAAAAACCAAAAAAAAAAACAGTCTAAATAACCAACCTCTTATCAAATCAGATATAAAGGGTTGATAACAGTTTTTTTTCTAAAACAAACAAAACCTAACTTATCTGTGTCAAACAATGTCTAAGTGGTTGTTTGTTTACCTCTTAATAGTTTCATTAAGAGGCAATATCTGAATCATTATGAGGTGAATCTTGTTTGGCAAAAAAAAAAATTTGTCTCTTAATGGTTTTAAAACCATTTGAATGATTTTGTATCATGAGTCTCCTTTAATTATTAAAAACCTTAACTTTATTGTAAACAATTCTCAAACAATTATTCATTTTTAACTATATTACAAAAACCTCTTAATCATTCTAACCACTTAATCATTTTATATTAAATCATTCAATAACGATCAAACCCCTAACTCTAAAATAAATGTAATATATAGTTATTTAATAAAAAAAGAAAGAATAAAAGAGAGGTCTAGAATCCACAAATGGCTTATTGGTAGGTAGTACGTCAACAGCTGTCACAGTTTTGGGGATACTTTCCGATTAAGGCAATATTTTGATGTAGCATGCCCTTACTATACATTATCATGTTTGACCCCACTTTTAATTTTCCATTTATAAAGCTAATCTAATACTACAGTAAAGTGTTGTTTATCTAGATATTTATCTGGTAAGTATTTATCGTTATGAGTCAACATTAAAATTTATTTTACTGGATAAAATTGTATTACATCAAAACGTATTTCATGCAACAATTTTCTTGGTAAACGCTTATCCGGATAAGAGTCGTCGCTCTCACTTACCGGATAAGACTCTTCATTCTTACCGAGTAAGAATCTTGGCCCTTGCAATGTTTATCCGGTGAGAAAAATTACCCGGAAAGCACTTAGTGTTATCCGATATTGGTTTTGAGTTTGGGCTCCAAAGGTCAAAAGTGTCTAGATGTCCTAGGTTCGAATGCAAAGAGAAATAAAAATCCTCTTATGGCCACGAAGGTTCAAATGCGGTGATTCCGTGCTACCCGCGAAGTGGATGGTCGCCCTAAGATTAGTCGGTTCACATAACGGGTTGAATATCCATGTTAATTAAAAAAAATAGTTTTGTAGGACATTAAACATTTTAATAAAATACTTTATAAGACTTAAATTTATAACAACAAACGTATCAGAAAGAACAATAGGTTTTGAGGACGTTTTAACAATTTTGCTAGGACCAGTTTTAAAATAAAATGCCGTATTAACTTTATTATACGACAAGTGTCCTATAATCAGATAAAATTAGAATGAAATCAGTTTCATTTATTAAATTACTGTTTGGTTTGATATAACATAACCCTATTGATTGCATGAACCTTCTGTTCTTATTCAAATGGACACAATAATAAGTGTCGTTTATCAAATGCTTACTGCTTAACGATTACCGACAACAGAATCCATTACTTTATTGTCAGTTAATGTCCTTTACTTGATAAAAATTTGACAAAAATACCCTTCTCTAATTAAAATTCATGTACATCTCTAAAATTATAATTAATAGACAAATATTAAAAATCTGTATAATAAATATGATTTTTCTCTATATATTCTAGAGAGAGAGAGAGAAGGGTAGTATTGTAATTTAGAGCAACACCAAAACCCGACTAGAAAATGTGAATGTAAGACTTGGCACTTGGCAGTTTATGACCAAGCAAATCTATGTCCTTATCCAATGAGTCACCACTCAATACGTCACCGTTGCGACAGTTATACAAATTAAGTAAATGGTTTCAATTTTTAATATAAATTTTAAAAGTTTAATAATATACCATGATGTTGGTATCATAATCGTGTCGAAGTTTATTTGGTATGTTTTGGATATTATATTGTATGTATTTTGGGTATTATATTGTGTATTTTAGGTATCACGTGATGTTCGTCGAAATAAGGTTTACCGAAAGCCGAAAGCAGGAGAGAGACAGAGGAGAGATAAATATATATATATATATATATAATACCTAAAATGCCCTTTAATTAAGTCAAAATATCAAAAATATTAGTTTTCTAGTTTATTTTTTGATTTGTGGTTGAGATTGGATCTCACAGTTTAATTTACAAATCTAACCATTGATATAAATAAAAAAAATTAATTAATTGAGATATTTATCAAAATGATAAGAGTTTATTTATTATAATCTAGATTTTTATGAGAAATTATCAACACTTATATTAATAAATAACTGAAATATTTATTAAACCAGATATTCATTAAATTAAATAAATAATTAATATTGTTTTACATGATTTATACTAATAGTTGAATGAGATGAATTAATGAAAAACAATATTAAATACTCTGAGATTTAATTTTTTTTATTAACCTGTATATTCAAACTGCTATGCGAGCCAATTAATTTCAGAATGATCATATATTTTGTAGATATTTCAGAGTCAATATATTTGAACTTTTGTGGTTATAAAGAAATTTTTATTTCTCTTTGAATTTAAATCTAAAATCTTCAGATACTTTTAACCTTTAAAGTCAAGTTCAAACCAAATATATAACTTCTTGTTGTTTAGTCTGAGAAATTTTAGGGACGAAAATAAAACAATAAGAAAACCAGAAGAACCAAAACCTACGACATTCGGTCAAGAGTTTACAAAATGCCCATAACACGTGGCAGAATCCTTGCGGTGTACCGGAAGTCCTTTAAAATGTAAGTGGACCACGTGTCATGATTATCCGACCCGAACTTGGCTTATCAGGAAAACGTGAAATCCAAGATGCAGTGACTTACGTGTCCTCGTGAGGGACACCCCTCGTGATCTGATTGGTTAGGGACCGTTTGGTACAATAAAGCGTGAAAATAGGTTAGCAAATGACACGTTTTGTCTTAGCCAATCAACTTTTAACTAAATTCCCGCCGGTTCAGTAAAGGTGTCGTGGACACGTGTCATATGTCTCTTATACACGCGGCCTATATCTAAGGTATCGCTTTATATCACCAATGATAAGATCAGAATACTTTTCCAACATCCAAACCGTTTTTTAATCCGGTTTTTTGTTTACTTCTTACGAGTTTTATTAGGAGATAATATTTGAATTTTTAAAAGGTGAATTTTATTTGACAAAAAAATCTATTATTTAATGGTTTTAAAAAATTTAGGAATGATTTTGTATCTTGTGTCTTTATTAACCATTTCAGCATTATAATTTTATTGTAAACAATTATCAAATAATTATATTTCATTTTGCACTATATCATAAGAGTCTTTTAATCATTCTGACCACTTAATTATTATGCAGTAAATCATTCAGCAACTACCAACCAGCCCCTTAGATAAACTGACGGTAAAAATGAGTCACGATAAATTTAGTGGCTACAATTTTCTTGTACGTTTATAACAGAATCCTTAACAGATGAAATATTATATCATATTCATCAGGATCTCAACTACTACGCCACTGGTTTGTTGGTTAGTTTATTACTTTTCATATGTGAGATCATATGTTCAAGTCTTTTATGGATTGTTGGTAAACATATTTTACCCGATAAACGATTACTGGGTATAATTTTTTTTACCTCATTTAGCATATGATTTTCGATCCTTGCTATTCTACTTACGAGTTAGGTTCTTGGTCCTTGAGTGCTCAATTGTTAAAGTAATTGACAACCGATAAGAGCTTATTTGGTAAAGACATCCTCATGTTAAATTAACTATAATTCATCTTAGGGGCTGTTTACCAAACGATTAATCAGGTAAGTGAACACCAAGTCACATTACCTTACCGGATTAATATGGTAAGGATCAAGAATCTTACCCGGTATGAGCGAGACGAGGACCAAGAGTCTTACCCGGTAAGTGAGGGCGACGACTCTTACCATGGTAAGAGCTTACCGGGTAAATTGTTGCATACGATACCGTTTTGATGAACTAAAATCTTACCCGGTAAGTAAATGATAATGTTAAACTTTACCAATAAAGACTTACCGGATAAGTGTTTGGTAAACGACCCCAGAATCAAAATCACTTTTATTGTATGATTCCGAATAATCAAAATATACTTTTTCTAACTTTTTGTTGTTTTTAGAAAGATTATGATGCAAGAATGCTTACCATTTTTAGCAAGATTCTAATTTTGTTTTTAAAGAATTATAGTTTCTTTTCCTTGGTAATTAGCTTTTTTTTAAATTTAAATATTCTAAAAATATTAAAGGGATCGTTTACCATAATCTTATCCGGGTAAGTACTTACCACGCCACATTACCTTACCGGATAAATATGGTAAGGACCAAGAATATTACCTGGTAAAAGCAAAAGTAAGGACCAAGAATCTCATTCGGTAAGTGATGACAATGACTATTACCGCGGTTAGCGCTTACAGGGTAAATTGTCGCATATGGTACCGTTTTGATGGATTAAAATTTTGTCTGATAGGTAATTGATGGTATTGAATTTTGCCGGTAAACATTTATCCATGTAAGGGTTTGGTAAATGGTCCCTAAGTGTCTTTAATATAAAGTTTTATAGGACTTAAGTTTATAAGAACAATTATATTAATATCTAAAATTCTTATAATAAGTTTATCTCTTGTTTTACAGCGTCGTAATAAGTTTTTTAGGACTATTTAACGTAAAGTGCCATATTTAGTTATTTTACAGGACACTTTTGAGAAATGTCCTATAAATCCATAATTTTATATGACGTTTATGTTAACTATTAACACTTTTTCAAATGTTGTATGAAATAGCTGATATAACAGTTCATTTTAAAGAATCTGTTACAACGTTCAAAATCCTCCTATAAACTCGTTACAACAGTTTAAGATATGACATTTTATTTTTAGTCCTTTAAACTTATCTATACTATATTATAAAACATTTAGGAAAAACTCTTAAAAACCATTTTTTTTTATGCATAAAGTCCTGTTTAGTAAACGACCCCTAAATCTGATAAAAATTTAGAAGTACCAACAAGGTGTATGGACATCTGATCAAAAATTAGAGAAATTAACGAAAATAACTAATTTGTACACTTTATATTAATAAAAATAATCATTTTTCAGACACTTTTAATATTCGGAATAATAATTAATTTTTATTAATAATTAATATTATCAAAAAAACGCTAATGTTAATCCAGATTGTGATTAAAAAAACACATAAAGCTTCAAAGAAAAATGAGACCTATTTAATAAATTATAAAAGGGTTTATAATTGTTAGGTGCATTTTATCAAAAGGTAAATTGCATTAAAAAGTAACATACTTTAACTTGATTTTTAATTAAGGTAACGTATTCTCAAAGCTTCTATTTTAGTATCTATGATGTAAAGTTTTAAACATTTAAGTACACGGATAACCGGTTAAAAACTAAACAGTTAAAAATTTACATCTTAGGTATCAAAATAAAAGGTTTTGAAATACGTTATCTAAAATAAAAAATCAAGTTAAAATACGTTATCTTTTCATGCAATTTACTCTTTATTAAATAAGAAAACTTATAGAATTGTAACAAATATGACAAAAAAATTGATGTAATAATTTATAAAATAATACGTGCGTCACCATAAATAATATACTGGACCTGTGCGTTTCGTATATTTGTAGGACATATTAAAACAATCCAAAAACTTGTTGGCCAATGGGAAAGCAAAATTAATGGATAAAACAAAAATCAAGGAGACGAGACAAAATTGATAAATTAATAACTCAAACGAAATAAAACCCTAAAAAGCTTCCACACTTTTTTTTTTTTGTTCTAATCATATGTGTCTAGATTAGTGATGGCAAAACCGACCCGGCCCGGCCCGGGACCGCCGGTTACATCCGGTTATGGATTTTGTCGATTTTATGGGACCGGTTAAGGCCCGGCCCGAAATGTATTTATAATAAATTCTTGAAAGACAATATAATTTTAATTATAATAAAATGTATTGTTAAAGTGTATTTAAGTGACCTAGTTACAAAATTTATAATGTATTAAAAATATATATCATTAAAAAATTAAAAAAATTATTTTTTAATGGGCAGGACTAGTTGGGACCGGGACCGGCGGCCAAGGACCAATTGTGAATAACCTTGACCGGTTTTACCATTTTCGACCGAAACCAGGACCGGTCATGACAAAATTTGGGACCGACTCGACCTGGCCTGGCCCGGCCCGGCCCGGAACCGGTTTTTGGCTGTCACTAAACAAGATAGAACAAAATCTGTTGTCTGGCGTCTTATTTATGTTTCAATCAATAAAATTAAGCTGCATCACATTTTTAAATACCTTTTATTAGAAACCGATGAATGAGTTTGAAAAGACATCTCATTCCTTTATATGTATACCATTACCATCCTCTTTAAGTCTTATGTATAGCGTCAGAGAGTATACCTAAATCGGTAGGTGGGAAGAAGATGAATGGTACAGGTGGTTGCTGTATAGCTAGATACTCCGGCAGTGGTGGTGCTGGTGTTGGTGTTGGTGGTGGTGAGATTAGCTATGGTATATCGAAGGTAGAGAGGATAATGCTCAAGTTCAGGCCGATCGCGCCGAAGCCGATGGCCGCTGGATCTGGTTCTAGTTGCTCCACCATGGAAAACAGCGAAGGTTATGGCGGAACTCGACGATGCAAGCGAAAGTACGTTAGAGGTAAGGGAAAACAAACTAAGAAGGATGCAAATACTACAGTTTCGAAGAAAATGAAGGTTTCGGTACCGTCATCGTCTTCAGTTTCCGGTGGTGGAGATGAGGTGGTTACCTTGTCTTTGTTGCCGGATCGGAAAGAGAAGTTACCGGCAAGGAGTAATTCAGAGAGTGAAAATCCAGATCTGTTATCACCGATCACGTTCAACTTAAACAACAAACAAACAGTTTGTTATGGTCACGTGCAGGGAGCGGCGAGTCACGTGGTTTCTGTTACGGATCATGCGGTTGTGATGATGTCACCACCACCGCAAGTAATTTCCGTTGTGACGGTGGAATGCGTGACGGAGACGTGGGCGAACGGTGGCGGAGTAGGGTTTACAGACGAGCCGGCGGCAATGAAAATGGAGATGGACACGTGTCCGTCGTTCGTTACAAATAGTCGAGACATGGTGGTGTGGACGAATACGGCGTATAGGGAGATGACAGTGGGCGGTGGTTCAGACGAAACGGTGGTGGTGAAGAAATTCAATCGGGTGAGGATGCCGGTGACTCTTCCGGCGTTCACGTGCAAGGTGAAGGTCACGTGGGGGACTGAAAGTAGCTCGTCGCCGTCGTCCCTGACGGCGCCGTGCGACGTCTGGAGGTTGCAGAACGGTGGTTATGCATGGCGGTTGGACGTTAAAGCTGCGCTGTGTTTAGGACGGTAAAGATGAAGTGATGTTACCTTTTATTAACCCTAGTTTTTATAAAAGATGTTTGAAAAGAGATTTAGTGTATAAAACAAATTAAAGGTGGAGAAATTGAAGTAAAATGTCATTTGATTAAACACTTACCCGATGAGCGTTTAATGGTAAAATTCAATATTATCGTTTACTTACCGTATAAAATTTTAGTCTACCAAAACGAAATCATATGTAAAAACTTACCTGGTAAGAGTTAACCGTGGTAAGAGTTGTCGTCATCACTTACCGGATAAGTCTCCTGGTCCTTTGTCTTCGCTCTTACCGGGTAAGATTTTTGGTCATTTCCATATTCATCCAGTAAGGTAATCTGACTTTGGTAAGCGCTTATCCAAATAAGCATTTGGTAAACAATTTCTTAATCAGATAAATAATACGAATCAGATAAGAGATGATATTGTTTCAACAATTTCTGATCAACAAATGTTGCAGACCGAGATACCGACCTGGTAATAAGAATGAATAGGCTACTTGGAATAGTATTTTACCTGATTAGTACTTGCTCAATTTTTTTACTAGACGGTCCTTTAATGCCAAAACGTTTGATGGATAGTCTACGGTTAATATCACCCGTCTTAGAATCACACCTCTCATTTCTGTCACACAACACATTAGATTTTCAGTTATTTTAAATTTATTTAATTCATGCTCACTTTCTGTGTATTTATATGATAATTTGGGATCATGTGAGACCAAGAGATTTTCGTGAGACCCGTAAGACCAATTTTCAACCCTTGGATTAGATCTACAATCTGAACATCCATAAACGCCACGAGACTTCTCAATAATCACAAAATTGTCACCGTGCAACTTTAGACCATTAGATCATTAGCTTATAAAGTTGATCAATGAACATAAATTAGTCATACGGGTCTCACGGAAAACTCTTGGTTTCACGTGAACACAACCCTTTATATGATTGGTGGCTATGATGAGACGCTAGAACTTGGAACAGGTGATTTCTATACCTCTTTCTACGGTCCCATTATCTGTGTATCCGTGATGAATTAATGAGTGTCTGAGGTGTGTGGTGTTCGAACTCGAACCCCAAACCTTTCATTCCTTTGCAAGGATCATGATCACCTTCTTACCTTTTAATTACGTATTACGCCAAAATGGGTTTGGTCGTCAAGACTAATATATCAGTTTTGATTTGACCAGGGGTAGACTTATGCCGACAGGTAGGGATGATTGTGCTTATTTTGAAAAGGATTTGTTATGATAACGTATGTCTTGTTCGAGATTCTCGGATCTGTTATTGGGACCAATATACGTTAAGTTCAATCTAGATGTGTAGATGTGCTACACGTAGGGTTCTTGACCTTTCATTAATGTCAACGTGGACGGTATACCCGTTGGATTGATCATACACTTGTATCTTGGTACCCCACATGTTCAATCAATTTAATAACGACTTCACTGATGTTTTCGTACAATATCAGTAAACAAAATTGACAGATGAAAATGCATTTGCAGTGTCGTGGAGTTATACAAGTCCTTCGTAACTCACATTTTCGTTTTGCATCGTACAATTGAAAACAATGTGAATAACAAGTAAAAGATTCCCGACTACACGCTACAACGTATTTATTTGACTCGAATGCACAAAATGTTAAACGCTATGATCTTTTTATTTCAAAAAGAATATAAAGACAAAATTGAACTTGAAATACAGTTTGGTGGCGTTTGTTTTTTAAGAGGTGCTGAAATCTGAAGTCTTATTTCACTTCTGATTTACAAGAGATGGGGTTGAAGTCTGTAATTTGAATCAATAAGACTGTTTGTTTTTGTAAATTAATAAACATATGAATTTGTTTAAATTGTGTATTTTACCCATTAAAAATTATAATGTTGAATATATAGATAAATTTATACAATTTCACATATTTATTCATCATCATTATGAAATAACATCTAAATTATATAATTAACATTTATTTAAACGAAAATATGTCATTAACGGTGTTTAACACATTTACATCCTCTTAAAATACATTAATTGAGAGATGTGGGGATTGATTTAGTAAGGATCAATTGAAACATTGAAGTACTCGGGTAACAGGTTGAAACATTAACCAGTTACCATGCTGATGTGGCGAGTGATGTGATATCCAACTCAGTATTATTTGATATCCAACCCAATTTCATCTCATCACTCGTCATATCAACATGGTAACCAGTTAATGCTTCAATCAGTTACCCGGATACTTAAATGTTTAAAACTTTATATCTTTGGTGTCAAAATGGAAGTTCTGAAAGTACATTACCCAAAATAAGAATAAAATCAAAGTATGTTACTTTTTCATGCAATTTACCTCTAATTTTTCATTTAATTAACACATGTAATCTTATACTGTATACCTGAAATAAGAGGTGATCGTGTCCCTAAGAAAACGTATAATAACCCGAAAACAAAAAAAATATTAGCACATTGTCACAACGATAACTTAAAACTCAATTAATTGATTATATCAAATTAATCTCACGCGAATGTTGGTGTAAGTGTATATAAATTAACTTTTAACTGATTTACATTTCATCTATCTCAGGGTTTAATGATCGGTAAATCTATATTATATTATAAAGCATTTGATAAAAACTCTTAAAAACCATTTTTATTAGCATTTTGTTTATTGATGCATATTACTTAAAATTTAAGATTACAAGTAAATTATGCGTAAGTACAATTGATTAAAGCTCTATGTTTGAATTCATGTAACTAACTACAGATGAACATAATCAAATAGATAATAAATATCTCATTTTAGATATAAAAAATTAAAAATATAATTAGGATAATTATTGAGTTATAACAAAATACTTAATTATTATCTTTTAACAAAATACTTAATTATTATCTTTTATTCAAAAATAAAAACGTTATCGTTTTCTAAAAAAAACCCACAAAAAATCGTATTATAACATCGACTGAGACAAAAAATAATATTAAAATCGAGATGTATTTTACTGTATTGTGCGAATACCATTTTAGTACATTGGCATGCATGTATGTATGGGGATTTTTGCACGGACTTATTATTCTGAACCTTTACATTTTTTATTTTACATGTAACCTTTGGATTTGGGTGTTTGTTATACATTGCAGTTTAATCGAAATCACATGTGATTCGAGCATTTTTCAAAATCATAAAAACTGTGCACGTATAGACTGTAAAATACCGCTAACGCAATTGCAAAATAAGGTGCTGTGCGAGACGGTTTGTACTTAAATATGTGTAAAATGGCGATAAAATTTCTTTTAACACTCCCAAAAATACAATATTTCATTAGTTTAAGCTTGAACTCCAAAGATCAAAATTGTCTGGAGGTCTCAGGTTCAAATCCAAGGAGAAATAAAAATCCCCTCATGAACACGGAGGTTTAAATGCGGTAACTCCAAACTACCTGCAAAGCAAATGGTCGCCTTGAGATTAGTCGGTTCACATAGCGGGTTGGATATCCAGGCTAATAAATAAATAAAAAGTCATTTTTTTATGAATAGAACATTGTCAAAACACCATCTCTTTTGAATTCCTCATGGTTTTGTTGATTCTAAAATATACTGATAATTTTGTTTTCAGACTTTAACATCAACTCTTATCACTACGAAGTTCAAGGCCTTTTAACAGAACACAGCGACACTCTAATTGAACAATGCTTATAGCTGTACATACAACAATGCCGGTTTCTAGTCGAATTCATCTGAAAACGCATTCGATTGAACGCCATTAACTTCAGGCTGTGGTTCCGTGATGATGCTATAAATGATGTTATCGACCTCGTCTTCATCATCTTCGTCTTGGTGCTTCGATTGCAGCATTTCCGCAGCTTCTGTTTCTGCCGTTCTCTTCATTGCATCTTCGTAGGATGTTTCATACCACACCATTCCTCTCCCGATAATGCCCTTGTTGTGGAAGTCTCTCATTCGCTCTTGCTTGCTCTTCTCGGAACTCTTCGGTTCCCCCCAGTAATCGTATCGATACAGAGGGTTTTCAGGGTCGTATTTGTCTTTTGCTACACTGTTCGGATCATGGTAACTTCCCGGCTCTTGTAATGGCAGACCAAGAGCTCTACGGCTGCCACAAATTTATCGAAGATAAACCAACATCATTAAGACAATTGCTACAGTTCTTGATCAACTATGATTATTATAAAGAATCATCCCTTCAATTTGTCGAAAATTAAATCCGAAAGTTTTTGTCATCATAATCAAGTTTCCTATTTTTCGGATTCTTCCCATTTAAGGGTTCTTTTGGCAACGTAAATACTCCCTACGGCCCAATGAAAAAAGCACAGTTTTCTAAATGTGTAATTATTACACTTTATATTTAACAATATGACGATTTTACCCTTAATAATATAGAGATTGATGAATTTCTTCATCTCATTATTGAGGGTAGAATTGGAAAGTAAGCTCAAACTTTTAAAAGTAGACACTTATTTCGTGATTTGGACATGCGCCCCCGGGGGGGAGGGGGTATTAGATAAGTAATCATACATTCCGAATTTAAGCATACTGCATACCTGTAGACTTTTGTAATGTTTCGAGTGAAAATACCATGCAAAATACGGGTGAATATCTAGCAATGAAAATATGAGAAGAATACCAGCTTATGTCTCTAAGTAAAGCCTCCCTCTCCTCCAAGGACCGACGCCAATGAACCAAATCGTATTCATCCATTTCATGATTACGCCTCAACTTGTCTATTTTGTAGGACGTTGCACCACCTTCCATCGCTTGCCTTTTCAAATCATTATGATGCTGTGCCCAATTATGCGTTAGATTCAGATGCAAACTCTTCAGTCGAACAATAACGATAAGAATATGGTTTTCTAATGTTTAAATCAACCATCAAGCAAACAAATTGAAATAGCATGACACTAAAACCAAACCAACCCAATAAAATCCCCCACAGAGGTGGGCTCTAGGGGGTAGGATGTACACAAACCATTCCTTGGGATACAGAAGTTGTTTGTGTGAAGAGAGCAAGCTACAGGTGGTAGTAGAGACCGTTCAATCCAGACCGGACCGGTCCCAATCAGACCATGACGTCATCTGGCCAGACCAGACCAAATTGTCAGTCCTTAATCGGTCCAAACTTTTTTTGGAGACAGACCAGGCTGAATCAAATCAGACCAAGGGGTTATTTGGTCGGTTTTCCATCAAGTCATGTATGGATAAAGTTGTCTGTGTGGATTAATATGTTTGTATGGATTGGAAAGGTTTTTGTTTGAGAAGATTTTTTCATAGATAGAATGAGCATGTTTTTTAATTGGGAAGGGTAGGTTTGGGAAAAACTTGGCTTTCTGCATTGAGCTCCCTCCTAGAAGCTTACTGAATAAGCCACTTTCTATATTATTTTAGCCACTACCAAACAGTAATTTATAGTTGACTGAATAAGCTACGAGTCTCATTAAGCTCATTAAGCTGCTAACAAACAGTCCCCGAGACCGGTCCGGACCAAGGCCGGTCTGGACCAGGCCAGGCTTTCTTGGACCGGTTTGACCAGACCGTTGACCAGACCAGACCAGATTTTATAGGGACAGTCCCGGACGGTCCATGTCGATCTCTAGCTGAGACCATGAGAGTATGTGCACACAAGCACCAAGTACAAAAACAGGCAAGGCAACAGGGGCACATGTGAGGAAAATAGGTAAAACAAACAAGGATACACAAAAGTGAAATACCGACAATAACCAGTAGAAGAAGAAAAGATCAAATCGAGTACCTGGCGCTCCGCAAATGCAGCTTCCAAGTCGAGATCTTTTATGCTCACATTCTGATGCATATAAACAGAAATGTAAGTTATGTCGATTTTAACAAGCTACTGGTGGTGCTCAGCGAGCGAAAGGGGACTCACCACTATCCTTTTGGGTAGCAAAGTTTCCTTATAATAAGCTTGGGTATATTCTACACTGTTTTCTTCATTGATTTCCTCCTCATCGGTTAACTCCGACAATTTTTTATCCTTGTATTTATCGGGATTAATCTCCATATCATCCATAATCATTTGTTCAGCAACATGTATTTGCCATAGCTGCATACAAAATCAGAATGCATTTGCTGTTCAATACACAGAAAACCGACATTTTAACACAAAAGGTTGTGTAAAAAAGGCCTAAATCAAGAGTAAACCAAACCAAACAAAACAATTCCAACACACCCTTTATGGAATGTCGCAAAATAAATACATCATTTCTCTATTTGGTACATTTTCTATCCAAAATTACCTCTTTGCACAACGTGAACTGGTCAGCAAAGTAGAACGTAATAGTCAAACTATTAAAAAAATGATACCTTATCAACATAAGGGTGATTAGATATCAGTGGTTCCTCCTCGATCTTGATTCCAGGATCATCCTTAGAAATAGGGGGTCTTCGAGCATCCCGCTGATAAAAGGAGTAGGTAAGTACTGAAACTACGGTACGGGATTTATTTACCATTTATAAGTTATTGATATTCCAGCAAATCTACCATATACATATATATTTAAGGAACAATTAGAATATATTAGGACTTCCAAGCATGAAGAAGGGTAAGAGAAATGAATCCTTTTCTATAAAAGATCGATACTTACACGCAACTCGTCCATATTAGTATCCTCCTCACGATAGAAAATTGGTGGGAAGTCGAATCTCTTAAAACTGCAAGTAGAAAGACAATGGTGTGATATCATAGATAACTAAAGTCTAAAGGTCCTTAAAAGGCTAACACAACATTCTGATATACTCCCTTCGTCCTAAAATAAGCATCCACATTTCTATTTTAGTTTGCCCAAAAATGAGTGTCCACTTTATAAAGTAAATGTCTGCTTTCCAAGTCTACCCTTGGTTATGATATGAAAAGACACATCATTCCCTCTATTATTAAGGGTAAAATTGTCATTAGGATAATTTAAAAGTGTAATAATTATACATTTCTAAAGTTGTGTGCCTTTTTCATTATGAGCATTTATTTTGGGACGTAGGCAGGGGTGTAAAAGGGCCTAGTCAAGTAGCAAGTTATTCGAGCTCGGCTCGAAAAATAATATCAAGCTCGAGCTAGGCTCAACTCAAGATCGATTAACTTTTTCAAAGTCAGGCTCGAGCTCGATATTTTTGCAATGTTTGAGCTCGAGCTCAATGCTCGTTTATGAGCTCAAATTCGAGATCGATTAACTCATTTATTTACTCAAGTTCGATATTTTTTATATTTTGATTACATAATTTGTAACCATATAAATATGTTTGGCTTGAAAAAGTGTATGATCGAATGGCTCAGCTCGTAACGTTTAATCGAGGTTTTGAACGAGTTGAGTCAAATATTGGTGTTATGGAGCTCGACTCGTTAAGCTAAGCAAGCTTTATTTTGTATTCGAGATCGACTTGAGCTTGAGTAGCTCATTAAAAGCTCGATTGTTTACACCCTTAGACGGAGGGAGTATTGTTTAGCTAATTCACCAACTATAAACAATATTAAGTAGGAGAAAAAAAGTCCACATACATGAGGTGGTCGATATTAGGATCAAGAAATCGCATCTCAATAGGAAATCGAAAACGGTAAGGATCTCGTTTTGCCTACAAAAAGGATGAATGGATGAATAATGGCACACATAATACGGCATGTTCACATGCAACGGAAGGAATAAAATGTTAAGAATTTAAAAGGTCGTAACTCACCAAAATTTCAACAATTACTTGCATACCGACTTTTATGTGATGTCGTATCCAATACCAATCATTACGTTTAATCGGAACCCACCTGAAATGGCCACAGAGCTTTAGAGTTGAGAATCTAAGAAGCTGCATCATGACGTAATACATGATTGCACAACTAAATCACATAAACAGGCAGTTGGTATCTTTTTTTTTTTTTTTTGATTAACCTGGATATCCAACCCGCTATGCGAGCCGACTAATCCCAGGCCGACCACCCGCTTCGCGAGTAGCCCCGAGTCACCGCATTTGAACCTCTGTGGGCACAAGGGAATTTTTATTCCTCCTTGAATTCGAACCTGGGACCTCCAAGCACTTTTGATCTTTAGAACCCAAGTTCAAACAAATTGGGCACCACCATTGTGGTTGCAGTTGTATCTTTTGTCTTTTACCATTAAAGCATTTGATTATTTATTCCAATCGTCTCACATAAGAAAAGGAAGAGCGATACTTACCCATCATGTACACCTCCAATGTCAACGAAAGCTCCTTGATAGAGATGCAAAGTAGTCACTTTACCGACACAAACCTGCATAAGATATTCCATATTAACTTATTTCCTTCCCAACAACCATACCTACAGCATGTAATATTTTCCACCTCTCCTGAACCTTCACACACACACACACACATATACATATATACATATATATATATATATATATGTTTGTATAGAGATAGAGAGAGACGTGTGTGCATACGTATGTATCTGCGTGTGTGTGTAACATGATTTACATTTTAGGCTAATATAATTAACAAGTTCATGCGAGTGCACACTGATATAGTAGAACATCGTTTAATTTAATACTCGATAAATTAATGATCTCTCTAAGATAGTATTTTTCTCCAATCCTGATTTGGGCTACTTGAAGAAGTAACTTATTTTAACAAGATAATAAGATGATATATTTTAGGAAGCCCCCTTTATAAATATATGGTCCATTTAATATCATAAATTAAAAATTCTTCAAAACAACCACAACTAAGACAATTTAGTGAAATATGATTCTAGTGTATAAACGTCATTGACTTTGTGACACCCCTTAAATTGTAAGCCATTGATGGGTAGAGTTTTAAGCATCATACATTGAATGTATTAGTAAAAATACAATGAATATTATCTTATTATTAAGAAACAACGAATTACTAATTACATAGAATGGAGAGTAGTGAAACAACGAACATGATTAAGAAACAACGAACATTACAAGGAATCATACATCACACATCCTATTGTATAAATTTCTAGTAATATCATGTACAATGAATACATAGATTACTAAAATACGACTCTACAATTAGAATAAAGTTTAACAGCGAGCCATTATAATCATCACATAAAGGGAAATTAAGATGGTGTTAACTGCTAAATAAGTGGAATGGCAGAGAGAACAAAAACTAAACTTACTTGTCCTGGATAGTAAAATGGTAGCTCATGCTGCAAAAAGGAAAAAGGTAAAATAGATAAGAAACTAAAGGATCTAAATCCATATCAATTATCCCAATTGAAACTGCTGAAAAAAAATTAGCTCAGCATAATCCATCTTACCATTTCTTCTTTATAGTCTTTCCCTCTTTTCCTCCTACCAGGATAAAAATCTTGATCATACTGTATAAACATTATGCATACCATTAGTACATAATATGAATCACTTGAAACTAGCATCTTGGGTGCAGGAATAAGTTCATCTTTGGGACTTGTATTCAATTACCAGGCAATATGATCCCCTATAATTTGAACACATTCTTTCTGATGATTTAATAGGCATCGCCAATGGTAACACCAAATCCATACAAATTGGTATAAAATTTAGTACAGACAATAAATCTTCTCCAACAGGTAGCACCAAATCTTACACCAAAATATAAGATTCTTGGTACATTCCTTTTTATCTTCTCCAATTGATGTAAATGAATAGTGTTGCACCAAATTTGGTATGTTACTATTCATGACACCAAAGTTGGTGTAAGATGTGGTGTCCCGATCGGGGTGATTTGATGTCAAATTCGGCATTTGGTGTCCCCATTGGAGATGGTCTTAGAGAAAACATACTGGTCAACCTGTATATTCATTATGAATACCATTAGTATTAACATGAATCACTTGAAACTAGCATCTTGGGTGCAAGAACAAATTCATCTTTGTAATCCTCTATAATGCAAAACACATTAATTGTAATGATTTCTTAGAGAGAACATATTAAGGATGTAGTGTTGGAAATGAACCTTATAAGATTCCTCCTCCAATTTATCCCTATTTGCTTCCACCCATTCTTTATACTGCTTCAGAAAAACCTTATATCTGTCCAAACACAAATCATCTGTATTGCTCCTTGCTTCATTCTGCACTTGATCAATATCAACCCTAAATGTCAACTTATGAGATTCTCTGATGAACTCCAGCTCCTTCCTATCCACTTTCCACCCCCTTGGCGGCCAATCTCGTGGCGGTATAAGACGGATCACCAGCGGCCCTGCCCACGTCGTCTTCAATGGCTCTGGAATTTCACCCTTAATCTCAAACTGTTTAGCATAAAATTCATCCTCTGTCAACCCTAATTCCTCCATTTTCTTCTTCCTGTAGCTAGGTCTCAACATTTTGAACGCTTCAATCGAATCAGGATTCTCCAATGCTACTTCTTCGCCTTCGTTGAGTGATTTTCTCGCGAAATCTCCTTCTGGAGTGAGGATTTCCTCCCATGGAGCCCAACCTCCTTCGATCCAATTGCGTCGACGCGCTTCGTCTTCAGTTTCCACGTCTTTTGGACCGAATTTCTCAATGAATTCCTCATCAACCGGGAATTCATCGGCTGATAAACCCTTGACGGTGAATTTTCCGGTGAAGGTACTGGAGACGAACTGAATTGAGGGATTTAGGTGGGTACGTGGTTTGCATAGCTTATTAGGGTTTAGGATTCTGGGAGGAAGGAAGAAGATGGGATGAGGGTTTAAGAGGGTTTGCATAGTTCACTTGCTCAGAGTAAGAGAGTGGATAAAGTTGGTTTGGTTAGTTATATAGAGTATGAAGATGTAGTGACCAAATTGTAAAGAAAAGCAAAAACAGGGACTGTTTTTGTAAATGTACTGTTTTGATTTGCTAATAAGCCATCAATCTTTATGTTAAATTACAAATGGACCACCAAAATCTGATAATTGCTAAAATAAGGGCCGTTTACCGGGTAAGCATTTACTGGGTTACTTACATTACTAGATGGATATAACAAGAACTGATACTCTTACCAGATAAATGAGAGCATCCAACAGCTTCTCTAAAATAGAGAAAATCAATTTTTTGTTCTCTATAATGCTCCAACAGTTTCTCTATCTTATTCTTTAAAATAGAGAATCATAGAGAAAACTCTCAATATAGATAATTTTCTAAAACTCGAAATGAGTAAATTACATTTTTAGTCCCTATGGTTTGTTAAAAATGTATATTTTTGCTCCTATGGTTTATAATTCATTACCTTATTTGTTCTAGTATTAAAAAAGGAAAGTAAAATACAATTTTGGTCCTTGTAGTTTACATGAATCATCGAAAATGGTCCATAGACTTTAATAACTACAATTAACATACCTATTGTTTGCATTTTACGTTGAAAATCATAGTTGGTCACGAACTCTGTTAAAAAAAACTTGGTTAAATATGGGATACTTTTGTCTTTTTACACTTTTTATTTGTCTTTCTCTTATTTTTATCCTTTTATTGTTTTTGATTTTTTTTGCTTTTCAGCCAAGAGCATCCCTCACCTCCAGCCACCACAGGGACAAAAATCCGGTGGCCTTCTTCGGCACCCATCACTCTGTTGACCTCCTCCAAGCACCAATCACCTCGATGGTCTTCTCAGGTGACCTCCACCAAGCTCCAGTCATCTTGTTCGACCTAAATCAAAATCTAACCTAAATCACACCTAAAAACCAAATCTGAAACCAATCAAAATCCAACCTAAATCAAAGATAAAGACTTAATCAAAACAAAAATCAAAGATGGAGAGGAAGAGAGATCGGTTGTGATTTGCATTAACTGTTTTCTTCCTCCACCGGTGAAATCCTCACCTCCAGCATCTGGTTTCTGAATCGACGTAAAGGAAGGGAAACAATTGGGGTGATGTTGGATGAAATCGATGGAGATGTTGGTTGATAGCGGGGATGGGGAAGGGAGATGGGTAGTAAGGGCAATCACAAGGAAGAACTGGGTGATGTCGGAGATGGTGTCCTCTTTTGTCGCTGGAGATGGCATCTACAGTAACGTGTGTGTGTGTGTGTGTGTTTGTTTGTTTAGGACAAAGATGGAAGGGGAGAGGAGAGATGGGTGATGTGAACGAAAACAAAAGGAGAGACGTTGGGTCGCCAGAGACATCGTTTGTCGCCAATTACGACGTTTGGTTGCAGATGTACATACGTGTGTGTGTGTATATATATATATATATATATATATAATATCAATATAAATTAGACTAAATTACACTATAGTTTAAACAAAATATTATAACTTGTCCATGTAAAGGTAAAAAGACTAAAATACTCCTAACTTAACGGTAAAAAAATTAAAAGATTTAAGTTGAGGGACAACTTTCAACGCAAAATATAAACAGTAAGGAGGATAATTGTGGTTATTGAAGTCTAGAGACACTTTCGATGATTTGTGTAAACCATAGGGACGAAAAATGTTGTCGATTCTAAAATTTATTTTTATTTATTTTTCATTTTTATGGTTTACAATTCATTTTTATTTCAGTTTTTCATACTTAAAGTGATCTTTTGGACTTTGGATGAAAATAGAAATGAATTACTAACCATAAAAATGAAAAAGGAAATTTTGGAACCACGGGGATGAAATCCGTAACTTGAAACAAACCACGCGGACGAAAAACATAATTTACTATAAAAATATTATAAAGAATTTATTGAAGATGCTCCAAAGGTGGTGTCTCTTCCTTGGTAAGCGCTTATCATGTGATAGATGTTCACCAACAATACATTTTAATGGTTATAAATGTTCTTCAATAAAGTAAATGAGGGTAGATGACTGTTTTTTTAAGTATATAATATTTATATGCAACAAATGCAATAAATAAACCTTCATGATAAGTGTTCGGTGACACCTAAGTCTCAATTACAAGATACATTTGCAAATGTGCAGAGTTATTAAACTGCACATTAAGCAACGGATTACCAGATGTTTACTATGTCAGCATCTACCGAGCGTCACTTACCTTTCGGGTAAGTATAACAATTACCTATAATCTTATCCGATAAGAGACATAGCAAGAATTGAAAATCTTATCTTGTAAGTGGAAAAAAAATTCTTACAAGTAAACAGTTACCAAGTAAAAGTTGTTTACAAACAATTTATTTTGATGACCAAATAATGTTATCCAATAAAGTAAGTGAAGATGATGACTCTTATAGATAACACAATGACGGTATATTTTACAATTAATCAAATTATTAATTATCTGTGTTATATAATTAATTAATGATTTAATTAAAAGTGAAAATTTTTCTAATTTCAAAAAAACAAACATATAAAAATACAATAATTTTTTGTACGTTCGACCATTTTGACTTAAAAACAAATCATTTTGGTGAATAATGTCAAAAGCATCAATGGTATGGTATGCTATAGTGGTTTGAATATGAAATTCTATGATCTTAATATTCGATACGTAATTGTTCACTCGGTTTCTTGTAAGTCTCAGTTTGCATTTGGATGATGTCTTAAACTCTTTTATTGATAAGAGTTTATTATGCATGTTTATAAATATGTGCGATATTGATATGTAATATTTAACTATCTAACTTTATAAGCGTTGGCTTACCATTTAAGTATCAACCCCTCTCAGGAAAGAAGACGGATAAAGAGAAAGAATCTGTTGTTTGACTTGGAGATTTATCAGGGGACTTGAAGACTACGAACTTACTTTTGGTATATAGTAGTTTATTACTGTATCTCATAGATGTAGTAAGTGTAGATTGTACATAGTCTTGTTCCGGTTATAAGCATGTCTCGTTTATTTTGCTATTTAATTCGGGTTCTAAGTAAAAATCCGTTATGTCCGGTTTGGAATTGTGTTTTTGGTGGTTTTATCACTAAAATAGAACATACATTTCGAAGTTTTTCTAGAAAATTAATATCCCGTATTTTGAGGTTAATCAATTTTTTTATTTTATTGGAGATTTTATAAAATTGGTAACTTAAGATTTCTTAAGTGAGATATTATAGATATGATATTCAAAATCTTGAATGGCCAAAATAACCAGATTGGGTAACATCACATTTTCTATGGCCATGGAGGTTTATATCTAAGTTGCTATTCATTTCATAATTATTACATTTTTTAATTAATAAATAGACAATTTTATTTTTAATAAGAGAGAGAAGAAGAAATTTTATTTATCTCATAATTAAGGGTAGAATAAAAAATTAAACATTTACTTTTAAAAGTCGACACTGATTGTGAGACAGATTTAAAGAGTAATTTAGACATTTATTTTGAAAATGAAAGAGTATTATTCTAACTTTTTTTAATGAATCTGTAAACTGAATCAAGAATTACCTTAACTTTCACATCATATATCTATATTATATTATAAAGCATTTGACAAAAACTCTTAAAAAACTATTTTTTATGCATGAAGTACTATTACTTAAAATTCAAGAGTACAAGTAAATTATGCATAAGTACAACTTATTAAACCTTCGTATATGAATTTGTGTAATTAGCTGCGAATAAACATAATCAAATAGAAGATAAACATCTTATTTTAAAATATAAAAATCATAAAATATAATTAGTATAATTATCGAGTTCTAACAAAATAAT